AGACAGACGCCGTACTGTAGCTGTCAGACTGTCCATGTGTATTCACATAACAGACAATCAGAGATATCCATAGATGTGGCCTGGCCAGTGCAATCTCGATGACTGATTTTACTTTAATAAGACTAACCTGGGTAAATAAAGGTTAAATAAATACTAGACGGAGGTAGGTTCATTATAACAGAAAATGAATGATCTGTTGTCCCTGTCCCCTGCCAGTGCCTGCGTTCACGGACCAGCCGGCAGAGCTGAAGGGTTACTCCATCCACACCCGTCTGTCGAAAGGGCCGCGAGGGTTCGGCTTCAACATAGTGGGAGGCAGCAGACAGAGAGAGTTCCTCCAGGTCTACAGCGTTACACCAGGAGGATCACCTGCTCTCAACACAGGTAGGATCAACACAAGTAGAACTAACACAGGTAGAACTAACTCAGGTAGGACTAACTCAGGTAGGACTAACTCAGGTAGGATTTAACACAGGTAGGATTAACACAGGTAGGACTAACTCAGGTACACTCAACACATGTATGATTAACACAGGTACACTCAACACGTGTAGGGTTAAAACAGGTAGGATCAACACAGGTAGGACTAACACAGGTAGAACTAACTCAGGTAGGACTAACTCAGGTAGGATTAGCACAGGTAGGATTAACACAGGTAGAACTAACACAGGTAGGACTAACTCAGGTACACTCAACACAGGTATGATTAACACCAGTACACTCAACACAGGTAGGATTAACACAGGTACACTCAACACAGGTGTGATTAACACAGGTAATCCCGAGTGGCGCAGCGGTCTAAGGCACTGCATCTCAGTGCTTGAGGCGTCACTACAGACCCCCCTGGTTCGATTCAAGGCTGTATCACAACCGGCCGTGATTGGGGAGTTCCCATAGGGCGGCGCACAATTGGCCCAGCATCGTCCGGGTTTGGCCGGTGTAGGCCGTCATTGTAAATAAGAATTTGTTCTTAACTGACTTGCCTGGTTAAATAAAGGTTAAATAAAAGAATTAAAAAGTACACTCTACACAGGTAGGATTAACACAGGTAGGTTTAACACAGGTAGGACTAACTCAGGTAGGATTAGCACAGGTAGGATTAACACAGGTAGAACTAACACAGGTAGGACTAACACAGGTACGCTCAACACAGGAAGGATTAACACAGGTATACATAACACAGGTATGATTAACACAGGTACGCTCAACACAGGAAGGATTAACACAGGTATACATAACACAGGTATGATTAACACAGGTACACTCAACACAGGTAGGATTAACACAGGTACACTCAACACAGGTACGATTAACCCAGGCACACTCAACACGGTATGATCACCTAAAGCAACATCACGTCACAGGTATCACTGACCTTTTCACAAGTACTCAACACAGGTAGATACAGCGTAACACAGGTAGGATTAACACAGGTACACTCAACACAAGTACCATAACCTCAAGCTAGACATACAGTGCCTTGCAAAAGTATTCATCCCACTTGGCGTTTTTCCTATTTTGTTGCATTACAACCTGTAATTTAAATGGATTTTTATTTTGATTTCATGTAATGGACATATACAAAATAGTCCAAGTTGGTGAAGTGAAATGAAAAAAATAACTTGTTTCAAAAAAAATTGACAAAATAAATAACGGAAAAGTGGTGCGTGCATACAGTGAGGGAAAAAAGTATTTGATCCCCTGCTGATTTTGTACGTTTGCCCACTGACAAATAAATGATCAGTCTATAATTTTAATGGTAGGTTTATTTGAACAGTGAGAGACAGAATAACAACAAAAAAATCCAGAAAAACGCATGTCAAAAATGTTATAAATTGATTTGCATTTTAATGAGGGAAATAATTATTTGACCCCCTCTCAATCAGAAAGATTTCTGGCTCCCAGGTGTCATTTATACAGGTAACGAGCTGAGATTAGGAGCACACTCTTAAAGGGAGTGCTCCGAATCTCAGTTTGTTACCTGTATAAAAGACACCTGTCTACAGAAGCAATCAATCAATTAGATTCCAAACTCTCCACCGTGGCCAAGACCAAAGAGCTCTCCAAGGATGTCAGGGACAAGATTGTAGACCTACACAAGGCTGGAATGGGCTACAAGACCATCGCCAAGCAGCTTGGTGAGAAGGTGACAACAGTTGGTGCGATTATTCGCAAATGGAAGAAACACAAAAGAACTGTCAATCTCCCTCGGCCTGGGGCTCCATGCAAGATCTCACCTCATGGAGTTTCAATGATCATGAGAACGGTGAGGAATCAGCCCAGAACTACACGGGAGGATCTTGTCAATGATCTCACGGCAGCTGGGACCATAGTCACCAAGAAAAATATTGGTAACACACTACGCCGTGAAGGACTGAAATCCTGCAGCGCCCGCAAGGTCCCCCTGCTCAAGAAAGCACATATACAGGGCCGTCTGAAGTTTGCCAATGAACATCTGAATGATTCAGAGGAGAACTGGGTGAAAGTGTTGTGGTTAGATGAGACCAAAATGGAGCTCTTTGGCATCAACTCAACTCGCCGTGTTTGGAGGAGGAGGAATGCTGCCTATGACCCCAAGAACACCATCTCCACCGTCAAACATGGAGGTGGAAACATAATGCTTTGGGGGTGTTTTTCTGCTAAGGGGACTGGACAACTTCACCGCATCAAAGGGACAATGGACGGGGCCATGTACCGTCAAATCTTGGGTGAGAACCTCCTTCCCTCAGCCAGGGCATTGAAAATGGGTCGTGGATGGATATTCCAGCATGACAGTGACCCAAAACACACGGCCAAGGCAACAAAGGAGTGGCTCAAGAAGAAGCACATTAAGGTCCTGGAGTGGCCTAGCCAGTCTCCAGACCTTAATCCCATAGAAAATCTGTGGATGGAGCTGAAGGTTCGAGTTGCCAAACGTCAGCCTCGAAACCTTAATGACTTGGAGAAGATCTGCAAAGAGGAGTGGGACAAAATCCCTCCTGAGATGTGTGCAAACCTGGTGGCCAACTACAAGAAACGTCTGACCTCTGTGATTGCCAACAAGGGTTTTGCCACCAAGTACTAAGTCATGTTTTGCTGAGGGGTCAAAAACGTATTTCCCTCATTAAAATGCAAATCAATTTATAAACCATTTTTGACATGCGTTTTTCTTGGATTTTATGTGTTGTTTATTCCTGTCCTCTCCACTGTTCAAATAAAAACCTACCATTAAATTTATAGACTGATCAGTTCTTTGTCAGTGGGCAAACGTACAAAATCAGCAGGGGATCAAATACTTTTTTCCCTCACTGTATATTCACTACAGTCCTCCTATATTCACTACAGTCCTCCTATATTCATTATCTATTGTAGTGGATGATATAACACATTATCTATTGTAGTGGATGATATAACACATTATCTATTGTAGTGGATGATATAACTCATTATCTATTGTAGTGGATGATATAACTCATTATCTATTGTAGTGGGTGATATAACTCATTATCTATTGTAGTGGATGATATAACTCATTATCTATTGTAGTGGATGATATAACACATTATCTATTGTAGTGGGTGATATAACACATTATCTATTGTAGTGGGTGATATAACTCATTATCTATGGTAGGGGATTGATTTAGAAAACATGATTCTATCGTGTAAAATGTTTGTCAGCCCCTCTAATAGGTCGCTCTATCGTATCTACTATATTAATAGAGAGGAGACCCAGAGCATCGATCTAGAGCGCGAGAGAGAGAGAGGGGAGAGAGAGAGCGAAGAAGAGGGCGGGAGAGAGACGAGAGAGAGAGAAGAGAGCGCGAGAGAGAAGTAGAGGAGGAGATAGAGAGGCGAGAGAGAGAGAGAGAGAGAGAGAGAGAGAGAAGAGTAGAGAGAGAGATGTTTCTCCAGCTGATCCTGGTCTACATCAATGACAAGCTGTGTCCTGGGTCTGTCTCATAAAGAGGTGGTAGAGATGTTGCAGTCTGTCCCTGTGGGTCACAGTGTGGACGTTGTGTTACGGAGAGGCTACCCCATGCTTTACAACCCCCGACGGCTGCCCCCAAAACAACAACCCCTGACATCCTCCTCCTCCTCCTCCTCTCCTCCTCCTCCACTCTGGCACCCCTCAGCTCTGCAGCCACGCGCCCTCCACAGCCACCGACCAGCCCCAGTCCCCTCCTTATCCCAGCCCTGCCGAGCCCCCCCACCACCCCGCTGGCTTGGCTAACCTGAACCGGACCCTGTCCCATCACAGCGGCAACTATCTCAGAGTGGCGGGGGAAACTCGGGATCAGGGCTGGACGCTAACGGGAACGCGGCAGGGCTGGTCTTGGCGCCCCCCTCCTACCCGCTGTCTAACGGCACACCGGGCTCTTCTGCCAGCTCAGCCTGTGCCCCCTCTTCCTTTCTCAAAAAGGGGCCCCCCTCCTCCCCCCCCTGAAGAACCCCCAGTCCCCACCAGAGTGACTAGACCCGGGGGATGGAAAAAAGGTAATACCTTTAACCCCATCTATCTCCAAACCCTTAACAAACCCCTAAAAAAATACCTAACTAACCAAACCCCAAAACTAAAATAACCCAAACAAACCTTGCCGGGATGACTGAGTTCACAGCCGATGATATGAGGGAAAAGTGCTGCCTGTGGTTCGAACACAAAGCTAACATGAAGTGCAACAGCCAATCAGATCAGATGTGCAGGTACAGTTTTATTTCCTCTTTTCACTTCAAATTTTCCCCCTTCTTTTCCTTTTCCCCAAAAAACCCCCCCCTTTTTTTTTTTTTTTTTTTTTTGGGGGGGGGGGGGGAAAAAAAAAAAAAAAAAAAATTCCCCCCCCCCCGGGGGTTTTTTTCCCCCCGCCCCCCTTTTTTCCCCCCCCCCAAAAGGGCCCTTTTTGCTTCCTTTTCCCCCTTCCTACTCCTCTTCCTCCTCTCCTCTTCTTCTCCGTCCACTTCCATCCTATCTTCCTCCTCTTCTTCCTCTTCTTCTTCCTCCTCTTCCCTCTCAGATGGTCTCTGATGCGCTACAACGGTAACTCCCTCCCCACCCCCTCCTCCATGGTCCAGCACCAGAGGGACCTCTCCACCTCCACCCTGCCCATCTCCCTCTCCAAGCTGCCCCTGTCCCAGCCGGAGGTGGGCACCGCCACCACCCCTGGAGACCCCTGCCAGCGGCCCCCCATGCCCCAGACCTCCCTCATGGTCAGCCCGCCTACGGAGGTCCCCCCTTGCGGCTTCAGCGGCTGCCCCGCCAACGCCCACCCCCGTGAGGGCCACAGCCCGGCCAGCGAGGGTATACCTGGAGGGAGCGAGCTGCTCCCTGTGCCCCTGGGGAGGAGTGAGGGGGGTGGTTTGGGGTTCAGTGTGACGGCGGGGGGGCAGGGGGGGCAGCTGGCCCTGGTGAAGAGAGTCTGGGACAGAAGACAGTGCTCCTCCCTGCAGCCAGGGGATGCTATAGTCAAGATCAACGGAGCCGACGTGCAGAGCCTCAGCTTCTCTCAGGTAGGACTGGAGACACCTCTACAGTTACAGACCGGCGTTCGGTTTGGTTATGAAGTTGACTGTCATTTATTTCAGGAACCCTCAGTAGTCATCATCAATCTCTGGCGTAAGAATATTCTGACAACGTTGAGTAATGTTATTGGCATTTGGAATGACACAGAAAGACAGAAGGGCTTTAAGGTTTACTGGATGTCAGAAAGACAGAAGGGCTTTAAGGTTTACTGGATGTCAGAAAGACAGAAGGGCTTTAAGGTTTACTGGATGTCAGAAAGACAGAAGGGCTTTAAGGTTTACTGGATGTCAGAAAGACAGAAGGGCTTTAAGGTTTACTGGATGTCAGAAAGACAGAAGGGCTTTAAGGTTTACTGGATGTCAGAAAGACAGAAGCACTTTAAGGTTTACTGGATGTCAGAACACCTTCGTGTGAAGAAGGTGTCCCTTTCAGGGGACCCTTTAGACCACAGTGTGAGATGTAAATTAACCAATATTTTGACCTATTTTAATGTTGACCTATATAATAATGCTGACCTGTTTTAACATTGAACTCTGCTGAACATTGAAGGTGCAGAGGGTCCTTCAGGAGCACGTCAAGCAGGGAGAAGTAGTGCTGTTGGTTTACAGAGCAGGTAAGACCATTAACCTGGATAAATACTACTACTACCACAAATACACTGTATTAACCTACTGTATATAAATACTACTACTACCACAAATACACTGTATTTACCTACTGTATATAAATACTACTACTACCACAAATACACTGTATTTACCTACTGTATATAAATACTAGTAATACTAATAATACTACTACTACCACAAATACACTGTATTGACCTACTGTATATAAATACTAGTAATACTACTGCTGTTGATAGCTGTACAAGTAACTTCATAACTTTAGGTTTAAATAGTCGTAATGCAACATGTAACTTCAGTACTTTAGGTTTAAATAGTCTTAATGCAACATGTAACTTCAGTACTTTAGGTTTAAATAGTCTTAATGCAACATGTAACTTCAGTACTTTAGGTTTAAATAGTCTTAATGCAACATGTAACTTCAGTACTTTAGGTTTAAATAGTCTTAATGCAACATGTAACTTCAGTACTTTAGGTTTAAATAGTCTAATGCAACATGTAACTTCAGTAACTTTAGGTTTAAATAGTCTAATGCAACAGTAACTTCAGTACTTTAGGTTTAAATAGTCTGTAATGCAACATGTAACTTCAGTACTTTAGGTTTAAATAGTCTTAATGCAACATGTAACTTCATACTTTAGGTTTAAATAGTCGTAATGCAACAGTAACTTCAGTACTTTAGGTTTAAATAGTCATAATGCAACATGTAACTTCAGTACTTTAGGTTTAAATAGTCGTAATGCAACATGTAACTTCAGTACTTTAGGTTGAAATAGTCGTAATGCAACATGTAACTTCAGTACTTTAGGTTTAAATAGTCGTAATGCAACATGTAACTTCAGTACTTTAGGTTTAAATAGTCGTAATGCAACATGTAACTTCAATACTTTAGGTTTAAATAGTCGTAATGCAACATGTAACTTCAGTACTTTAGGTTTAAATAGTCGTAATGCAACATGTAACTTCAGTACTTTAGGTTTAAATAGTCGTAATGCAACATGTAACTTCAATACTTTAGGTTTAAATAGTCGTAATGCAACATGTAACTTCAATACTTTAGGTTTAAATAGTCGTAATGCAACATGTAACTTCAGTACTTTAGGTTTAAATAGTCGTAATGCAACATGTAACTTCAGTACTTTAGGTTTAAATAGTCGTAATGCAACATGTAACTTCAGTACTTTAGGTTTAAATAGTCGTAATGCAACATGTAACTTCAGTACTTTAGGTTTAAATAGTCGTAATGCAACATGTAACTTCAGTACTTTAGGTTTAAATAGTCGTAATGTAACATGTAACTTCATTACTTTAGGTTTAAATAGTCGTAATGTAACATGTAACTTCATTACTTTAGGTTTAAATAGTCGTAATGTAACATGTAACTTCAGTACTTTAGGTTTAAATAGTCGTAATGTAACATGTAACTTCATTACTGAGGGAACAATAAGAGGAGGAGTGTTTAGATCCTCCCATCGAAGCTGAAACCACTTCAGCTTTCAGACCAGGTTACTGTGTACAGGATGGATTCAGCTCAGGGTTTTAGTTCATTCATGACTTTCTCATGGGGTGAATAGATGAGCTGAACATCTCTCTTACTAATGATCAGCTGTTGTTATGATCATTTTCCCTTCACAAAACATTTGAACGGTGGAAAGTTTGTACGTAACACACAAATAAAAACAACACTAGGCATAATGCCTATTGCCTAACGTTGGGACAATAAAGCTTTCTGAATCTACAATGTATGCTGTTGGAAATGGTTTTGGCTAAGCTCTCTTCTCCTCTCCCCTCCCCTCATCTCTGTCTCTGTCTCTGTCTCTGTCTCTGTCTCTGTCTCTGTCTCTCTCTCCAAGGGTCCTTCTGTTCTCCTGTCTCCCCTAACCTCTACAAACCCTTCCCCTCTCCGCTGGGCCCCCACTCCTCCTCCCACGGCCTCCCTTCCCCCTCCGACTTGCCTTCCACCTCCACCTCAGATGCCTTGGTGCCCCCCAGCCACAGTGGCCTCGCCCCAGCCTCACCCTCCACCGACCTCCCCTCCATGGTTCAGAGTACCTCCTTCCTGGACTCAGTCCCTGTAACCATCACCCTGGAGCCCAGGGACTGGCTGGGGATGGAGGAGGGTGGTGGCCCTGGGCTCCCAGTCAGCCCCCCTGGAGGTGGGGCAGCAGGGGGAGCGGGGCTGGGGGCCATGGCCAAGGGCCAGGTGGACGGGAGAGGGGGGAGGGCCCGGGTGGGAGTCATGGGTCAGGAGGTGGAGCTACAGAGACGGCCGGGGGAGGGGTTTGGCTTCGTCATCGCCTCACAGGACCTGGCCAATGGGGGTGAGTCGTTTACTGTCTATAACCTAGTGCTGATCTAGGACAGATCCCCTCTGTCCATTTTAATCTTATTCATTATGATCTAAAAGGCTAAACTGATCCTGGATCAGCACTCCTTATCTGAGGCGCTTTGAGATCAAAAAGATCAACCGGTTTTGTGTTCATTTCTGTTCCCCCCATCAGATGTGGTCCCTCTTGAGTTCTTTCTGGGGCTGTTTCCCTTCTTCTACCTCTGTGGTTTAATATAGAGGGTTTCAAACAAGTACAACTAGAAGCACAAAATGCATTGTACTCATTGCCCTTTAGTGTAATACTGTTAGCTTGTACTGAAGTGAACTGGTAACTATAACTTTTTCTGCACAATGTAACTGTATTTGTATTTTGTATTTATTATGGATCCCCATTAGTTCCTGCCAAGGCAGCAGCTAATCTTCATGGGGTTTATTATGGATCCCCATTAGTTCCTGCCAAGGCAGCAGCTACTCTTCCTGGGGTTTATTATGGATCCCCATTAGTTCCTGCCAAGGCAGCAGCTACTCTTCCTGGGGTTTATTATGGATCCCCATTAGTTCCTGCCAAGGCAGCAGCTACTCTTCCTGGGGTTTATTATGGATCCCCATTAGTTCCTGCCAAGGCAGCAGCTACTCTTCCTGGGGTTTATTATGGATCCCCATTAGTTCCTGCCAAGGCAGCAGCTACTCTTCCTGGGGTTTATTATGGATCCCCATTAGTTCCTGCCAAGGCAGCAGCTACTCTTCCTGGGGTTTATTATGGATCCCCATTAGTTCCTGCCAAGGCAGCAGCTACTCTTCCTGGGGTTTATTATGGATCCCCATTAGTTCCTGCCAAGGCAGCAGCTACTCTTCCTGGGGTTTATTATGGATCCCCATTAGTTCCTGCCAAGGCAGCAGCTACTCTTCCTGGGGTTTATTATGGATCCCCATTAGTTCCTGCCAAGGCAGCAGCTACTCTTCATGGGGTTTATTATGGATCCCCATTAGTTCCTGCCAAGGCAGCAGCTACTCTTCCTGGGGTCCAAACATATTAAAGCATTTACATTACATATAAAACAAAAGATAAAACAGTACATCATATGACATTATTACACCACTACATATCTACGATACAAAATGTTTAATACCACCATACAACAATATTACAATGTGTGCGTATGCATGTGTCTATACCCTTGTGTGTGTGTCTTCACAGTCCCCGTTGTTCCATAAGGTGTATTTGTACCTATTTTTTAAAATCTGATTCTACTGCTTGCATCAGTTACCTGATGTGGAATAGAGTTCCATGTAGTCATGGCTCTATGTAGTACTGTGCACCACCCATAGTCTGTTCTGGACTTGGGGACTGTGAAGAGACCTCTGGTGGCATGTCTTGTGGGGTATGCATGGGTTTCCGAGTTGTGTGATAGTAGTTTAAACAGACAGCTCAGTACATTCAGCTTGTCAACACCTCTCACAAATACAAGCAGTGATGAATTCAATCTCTCTTCCACTCTGAGCCAGGAGAGACTGACATGCATGTCATCAATGTTAGCTCTCCGTGTACTTTTAAGGGCCAGCCATGCTGCCCTGTTCTGAGCCAACTGCAATTTTCCCAAGTCCCTCTTTGTGGCACCTGACCACACTACTGAACAGAAGTCCAGGTGCGACAAAACTAGGACCTGTAAGACCTGCCTTGTTGATAGTGTTGTTAAGAAGGCAGAGCAGCACTTAATTATGGACAGACTTTTCCCCATCTTCGCTACTGTTGTATCAATATGCTTTGACCGTGACAGTCTACAATCCAGCGTTACTCCAAGCAGTTTAGTCACCTCAACTTGCTCAATTTCCACATTATTCATTACGAGATGTAGTTGAGGTTTAGGGTTTAGTGAATGATTTGACCCAAATACAATGCTTTTAGTTTTGGAAATATTCAGGACTAACTTATTCCTTGCCACCCATTCTGAAACTAACTGCAGCTCTTTGTTAAGTGTTGCAGTTATTTCAGTTGCTGTAGTAGCTGACCTGTATAGTGTTGAGTCATCCGCATACATAGACACACTGGCTTTACTCAAAGGCAGTGACATGTCGTTAGTAAAGACGGAAAAAAGTAAGGGGCCTAGACAGCTGCCCTGGGGAATTCCTGATTCTACCTGGATTATGTTGGAGAGGCTTCCATTAAAGAACACCCTCTGTGTTCTGTTAGACAGGTAACTCTTTATCCACAATATAGCAGGGGGTGTAAAGCCATAACACATACGTTTTTCCAGCAGCAGACTATGATCGATAATGTCAAAAGCCGCACTGAAGTCTAACAAAACAGGCCCCACAATCTTTTTATCATCAATTTATCTCAGCCAATCATCAGTAATTTGTGTAAGTGCTGTGCTTGTTGAATGTCCTTCTCTATAAGCGTGCTGAAAGTTTGTTGTCAATTTGTTTACAGTAAAATAGCATTGTATCTGGTCAAACACAATTTTTTCCAATTCCTCATCAATCCACGGGGATTTAACAGTTTTTACAGTCATTTTCTTAATGGGTGCATGCTTATTAGTAACTGGAATAAGCAATTTAACAAATGTGTCAAGTGCAGTGTCTGTCTGCTCCTCATTACACACCACGGACCAACACATATTATTTACATCAACAACATAGGAATCACTACAAAACCTCTTGTATGACCTCTTATACGCAATATTAGGCCCAGCCTTTGGAACTTTGGCTACTACATCCAATGGAATTGGATCAAACAAATCTCTGCAGCATTAGTAAAGATATGATCAATACATGTTGATGATGTAATTCCTGTGCTGTTTGTAACTACCCTGGTAGGTTGACTGATAAACCTGATCACGGTTACAGGCATTGGTTACAGTTTGAAGCTTTCTCTTGAGTGGGCAGCCTGATGAAAGCCAGTCAATATTTAAATCACCCAGAAATTATACCTCTCTGTTGATATCACATACATGAAGCATTTCACACATGTTATCCAGATACTGACTATTAGCACTTGGTGGTCTATAGCAGCTTCCCACCAGAATGGGCTTTAGGCAGATGAACCTGTAGCAGATGAACCTGTAGCTCTTTAAAATTCAGTTTCAACTGTTCAGAGCTGCCCTTCATAGTGCCATTAAAACCCACATGGACTACTATAGAATCGATTTCCATGTCCTGGCGTAGTACATTCGGGAGCAGCTTAGTAATGTCATTTACTTGAGCTCCGGGATAGGACATTGTTTTTGCACCAGGAACGGTCACATTTCTTGCCATGGAGCTGCCCAAAATCACGGCTGGCGAGAAGGACGAGGAAATTCACCCACTCCCACGCTTCACAGGATGCAGGCCTCCGACAGATGGAGAAGCCCCGCTCGATCCAGAGCAGGGACGGAAGGTTGCCGATGTTGACTTCTAAATCGTATTAGTAGGCACTGCGGCTGCAGACACAGACCCCAGCGAAGACGAAGGTGCAGGAAGATCAGGCTCCAGGACGGTGAAACTATTAGTTGTTTGTATCCGCTCCGGGCCTCTCGTTGGGAGTGTAGACTGCTTTGCGGGAGGCCGCTGTCTTCGGCTTCCACGGCTCCTGACGTGACCATCGTTGATTGCCTTTCTCCTCATGCTGTGCTCCTTCGACGGCGCTATCAGATGGGGGAGGAGAGGCAGGAGATGGCTCCCCTGGTGAACGAACTCAGGGCAACACCGGCCAGTCGGATAACGACAAACGACAAGGCGGAGATGCATCCAACAATCGCGAACGCCGTCCAGCCACCGGCGTAGAACATTTTAACTTCCCACTCTGCATTTTCCCCAGTTTCTTACGTAGGCTGGCGACCTGCGTGATCAAGGAAGCCACCTCAAGCCTATAATCCTTGGCAAGTAAACAATTGCCGCATTGGCCCTCCGAGTGAAACGGTTTGTCCTGAAACAAAGCGTAGTAGATACAGCTCCTACAGCGCTGGAACCGTTCATTTAGTTCTCCAGACAAAGAGGCTCCATTGGAAAACTCATCTGGGACTAACTTCGTTAGCTTGATGGCTAGCAGCTAAGCATCTCTGTCAAGCAGGCTTCAACCTGTCTCTTAAGGGGGTTTCCGGGAGAAGAAATAGCGGTCCTAGCTTTTAAAAGCTAACCGCGTAGTGGAATCCACGCAAAAACAAGATCTGTATTCGTATTTGTGAATAGTGTTTTTGTTATAATCAAAATAACAAACCGAGTTCATCTGCACACTGTGAAATTGACGTCAACATATTTGGCAATCTTTTGATGTATGATCCACTTACAGTAGATGCTGTACAGAAACACAGAATCATATGAACATGTTATCCATAACTGATCTAAAGATGAAACAGTATTATAATCTCCCACCATAATAATAGAGTATTGTATTGCTTGCAGGGTTGATAATTTATTATATATATATATATTAAAAGAAGTGTGTATTGATAGATATTCTCTTCAACAGTATCTAGATTCTAGGTATTCATAGATACTCTCTTCAACACTATCTAGATTCTAGGTATTCATAGATACTCTCTTCAACAGTATCTAGATTCTAGGTATTGATAGATATTCTCTTCAAGACCATCATGCTTTATTGAGCTGTTTTGTCTTGTAGTAATGTGGTGCCTGCCTGTATTGCTTTAAATCTTTATTTTAGCAATTGATGTCATTGAGAAAAATATATTTCATAACACATTTTTGGACACAGTCACTCTGGGGCGGCAGGTAGCTTAGTGGGTAAGAGCGTTGTGTCAGTAACCGAAAGGTCGCTGGTTCTAATCCCCGAGCCGACTAGGTGAAAAATCTGTCGATGTGCCCTTAAGCAAGGCACCTAACCCTAATTGCTCCTGTAAGTCGCTCTGCTAAAAATGTAAATGTATATTTATAGTGCCTGTCTGCGTTTCCGGTGTAAATAAATAATAACAACAAACAAAACAACGGTTGTAAGGAAAAAGAAGGCTGTGAAAACGAACCAACGTGTTTCTGATAAGATTTCAGTTCGGCTTCGATGCATATTTTATGTGGTTGAAATACTATCAGCTTTTATGATGCTTTTATGATGAAGAAAGCAGCTCTACGGATCGTATCTAACTGAACATTGCATTCATCTCAAGATGCAGAAATAAATAAATCATATTTCTCCACTCCTGTTCCCAAGTCCACATTTTTGCATACATTTGGTGTATAATTTTACTGCAAGAAATGCTTAATTCTACAGGAGTTATTATTAAGGCTATAGCCCTATTCGCACGGGATTAGTATCACTAGATAACGTTGGTTGTGTATGTATTACCTCAGAATGTCCGTTATTCCAGAGGCCGATTCGGAAGGGATACGTTTTATAGAATAATTGTGAAGACATCAAAACTATGAAATAACACATATGGAATCATGTAGTAACCAAAAAAGTGTTAAACAAATCAAAATATATTTTATATTTGAGATTCTTCAAATAGCCACTCTTTGCCTTGATGACAGCTTTGCACACTCTTGGCATTCTCTCAACCAACCTCATGAAGTAGTCACCTGGAATGCATTTCAATTAACAGGTGTGCCTTCTTCAAAGTTAATTTGTGGAATTTCTTTCCTTCTTAATGTGTTTGAGCCAATCAGTTGTATTGTGACAAGGTAGAAGGATACAGGTATACAGAAGATATCCCTATTTGGTAAATGACCAAGTCCATATTATGGCATGAACAGCTCAAATAAGCAAAGAGAAACGACAGTCCATCATTACTTTAAGACATGAAGGTCATTTCAAGAATTTCTTCAAGTGCAGTCGCCTGATGCCAAGTGTCACGTCTGGAGGAAACCTGGCACCATCCCTACGATGAAGCATGGTGTTGGCAGCATCAGCATCAGAGCACTCAGGACCTCAGACTGGGGCGAAGGTTCACCTGCCAACAGGACAACAACCCTAAGCACACAGCCAAGACAACACAGGAGTGGCTTCGGGACATGTCTCTGAATGTCCTTGAGTGGCCCAGCCAGAGCCCAGACTTGAACCCGATCAAACATCTCTGGAGAGACCTGAAAATATCTGTGCAGCGACGCTTCCCATCCAACTTGACAGAGCTTGAGAGGATCTGCAGAGAAGAATGGGAGAAACTCCCCAAATACAGGAGTGCCAAGCTTGTCGCGTCATACCCAAGAAGACTCAAGGCTGTAATCGCTGTTAAAGGTGCTTCAACAACAGTACTGAGTAAAGGGTCTGAATTCTTATAAAAATGTGATATTTCAGTTTTTTATTTTTAAATGTCTAAAAACCTGTTTTTGCTTTGTCATTATGGGGTATTGTATATAGATTAATTCAGGAGGGGGGGGGGGGGGGGATTTAATCCATTTTAGAATAAGGCTGTAACGTAACAAAATGTGTAAAAAGTAAAGGGGTCTGAATACTTTTGAATGCACTGTTATGTGTCAGTGGAGGTTCCTCAGAGGAGGAAGGCGAGGACCATCCTCAGTGAATTTCATAAAAATAAAAATAATGAAACATTAAAAAAGTTATCCTTTTTAGATAAAACTATACTAAATATATTCACGTCACCAAATAATTGATTCAAACACACTGTTTTTCAATGAAGGTCTACAGTAGCCTCAACAGCATTCTGTAGGGTTGCACCATGGTGTAGCCGGAGGACAGCTAGCTTCCGTCCTTCACTGGGTACATGGACTTCAATACAAAACCTAGGAGGGTCATGGTTCTCACCCCCTTCCATAGACTTACACAGTAATTATGACAACTTCCGGAGGACGTCCTCCAACCTGACATCAAATCAACATTTAAATGTCACATGTGCCGAATACAACAGGTGTAGACCTTACCGTGAAATGCTTACTTACAAGCCCTTAACCAACAATGCAGTTCAAGAAATAGAGTTAAGAAAATATTTACTAAATAAACTAAAGTTGTAAAAAAATTAAAAAAATAAAAATACAAATTACATAACAATAACCAGGCTATATACAGGGGGTACCGGTACCGAGTCAATAACCAGGCTATATACAGGGGGTGCCGGTACCGAGTCAATAACCAGGCTATATACAGGGGGTACCGGTACCGAGTCAATATACAGGCTATATACAGGGGGTACCGGTACCGAGGGGGTACCGGTACCGAGTCAATGTGTGGGGGTACAGGTTAGTCCACCCAATCAAAGGATCAGAGAATTAATCTAGTACTGAAAGCATAAGCTACAGCTAGCTAGCACTGCAGTGCATAAAATGTGGTGAGTAGTTGACTCAGAGAGAGAGAAAGACAATAGTTGAACAGTCATTCTTATCCAGAGAGACTACAGTAGTGAGTCATTTAGCAGACACTCTTATCCAGAGTGACTACAGTAGTGAGTCATTTAGAAGACACTCTTATCCAGAGAGACTACAGTAGTGAGTCATTTAGCAGACACTCTTATCCAGAGAGACTACAGTAGTGAGTCATTTAGCAGACACTCTTATCCAGAGACTACAGTAGTGAGTCATTTAGCAGACACTCTTATCCAGAGAGACTACAGTAGTGAGTCGTTTAGCAGACACTCTTATCCAGAGAGACTACAGTAGTGAGTCATTTAGCAGACACTCTTACCCAGAGAGACTACAGTAGTGAGTCATTTAGCAGACACTCTTATCCAGAGAGACTACAGTAGTGAGTCATTTAGCAGACACTCTTATCCAGAGAGACTACAGTAGTGAGTCATTTAGCAGACACTCTTATCCAGAGAGACTACAGTAGTGAGTCGTTTAGCAGACACTCTTATCCAGAGAGACTACAGTAGTGAGTCATTTAGCAGACACTCTTATCCAGAGCGACTACAGTAGTGAGTCATTTAGCAGACACTCTTACCCAGAGAGACTACAGTAGTGAGTCATTTAGCAGACACTCTTACCCAGAGAGACTACAGTAGTGAGTCATTTAGCAGACACTCTTACCCAGAGAGACTACAGTAGTGAGTCATTTAGCAGACACTCTTATCCAGAGAGACTACAGTAGTGAGTCATTTAGCAGACACTCTTATCCAGAGAGACTACAGTAGTGAGTCATTTAGCAGACACTCTTATCCAGAGAGACTACAGTAGTGAGTCATTTAGCAGACACTCTTACCCAGAGAGACTACAGTAGTGAGTCATTTAGCAGACACTCTTATCCAGAGAGACTACAGTAGTGAGTCATTTAGCAGACACTCTTACCCAGAGAGACTACAGTAGTGAGTCATTTAGCAGACACTCTTATCCAGAGAGACTACAGTAGTGAGTCATTTAGCAGACACTCTTATCCAGAGAGACTACAGTAGTGAGTCGTTTAGCAGACACTCTTACCCAGAGAGACTACAGTAGTGAGTCATTTAGCAGACACTCTTATCCAGAGAGACTACAGTAGTGAGTCATTTAGCAGACACTCTTATCCAGAGAGACTACAGTAGTGAGTCATTTAGCAGACACTCTTACCCAGAGAGACTACAGTAGTGAGTCATTTAGCAGACACTCTTATCCAGAGAGACTACAGTAGTGAGTCATTTAGCAGACACTCTTACCCAGAGAGACTACAGTAGTGAGTCATTTAGCAGACTACAGTAGTGAGTCATTTAGCAGACACTCTTATCCAGAGAGACTACAGTAGTGAGTCATTTAGCAGACACTCTTATCCAGAGAGACTACAGTAGTGAGTCATTTAGCAGACACTCTTATCCAGAGAGACTACAGTAGTGAGTCATTTAGCAGACACTCTTACCCAGAGAGACTACAGTAGTGAGTCATTTAGCAGACACTCTTACCCAGAGAGACTACAGTAGTGAGTCATTTAGCAGACACTCTTATCCAGAGAGACTACAGTAGTGAGTCATTAGCAGACACTCTTATCCAGAGAGACTACAGTAGTGAGTCATTTAGCAGACACTCTTATCCAGAGAGACTACAGTAGTGAGTCATTTAGCAGACACTCTTACCCAGAGAGACTACAGTAGTGAGTCATTTAGCAGACACTCTTATCCAGAGAGACTACAGTAGTGAGTCATTTAGCAGACACTCTTACCCAGAGAGACTACAGTAGTGAGTCATTTAGCAGACACTCTTACCCAGAGAGACTACAGTAGTGAGTCATTTAGCAGACACTCTTACCCAGAGAGACTACAGTAGTGAGTCATTTAGCAGACACTCTTATCCAGAGAGACTGCAGTAGTGAGTCATTAGCAGACACTCTTATCCAGAGAGACTACAGTAGTGAGTCATTTAGCAGACACTCTTATCCAGAGAGACTACAGTAGTGAGTCATTTAGCAGACACTCTTACCCAGAGAGACTACAGTAGTGAGTCATTTAGCAGACACTCTTATCCAGAGAGACTACAGTAGTGAGTCATTTAGCAGACACTCTTATCCAGAGAGACTACAGTAGTGAGTCATTTAGCAGACACTCTTACCCAGAGAGACTACAGTAGTGAGTCATTTAGCAGACACTCTTATCCAGAGAGACTACAGTAGTGAGTCATTTAGCAGACACTCTTATCCAGAGAGACTACAGTAGTGAGTCATTTAGCAGACACTCTTATCCAGAGAGACTACAGTAGTGAGTCATTTAGCAGACACTCTTATCCAGAGAGACTACAGTAGTGAGTGTATCAGTTTTCATACTTTTTCTTCTTCCTCATATCCCAGTGAAAATGATTGATATACTGTACTACTCCATAGTACCATACCATACCATATCTCTCCACCCATTAACACGGTTAACGACTGATAATACTGACTAAACTCTCTCTTTCTCTCTCTCTCTCTCTCTCTCTCTCTCTCTCTCTCTCTCCCCCCACCCCAGCCTCGTCCATGCTGTCCCATAGGTTTGTGAAGGTGCGTGGGGGCAGCCCTGCGGCCCGGTCGGGTCAGATCCAGCCGGGTGACCAGCTAGAGGCGGTGGAGGGGCGATCCGTTGCCACCCTGCCTCACAGAGACCTGGCACAGATACTGAGACGCGCCAGAAACACACTCCGACTCACCATCATACCAAGATCTAACACCAGTGAGTTTTCTACCTCTACACACTTACTAACACACAGACATGGGTAGGTAGACTAACAGACATGGGTAGGTACACTAACAGACATGGGTAGGTGACCTAAAGACATGGGTAGATAACTAACAGACATGGGTAGTACACTAACAGACATGGGTAGATACACTAACAGACATGGGTAGGTACACTAACAGACATGGGTAGGTACACTAACAGACATGGGTAGATACACTAACAGACATGGGTAGTACACTAACAGACATGGGTAGGTAACAACAACAGGTAGATACATAACAGAAGGTAGGTAGACTAACAGACATGGGTAGGTACACTAACAGACATGGGTAGACTAACAGACATGGGTAGATACACTAACAGACATGGGTAGGTAGACTAACAGACAGTAGGTACACAAACCATGGCAGTGACACAAAACTAGTTACGGTAGTTAACTAAACTGGGTAGTACACTAACAGACATGGGAGTCACCTACGTGGACATGGTAGGTCAAGACACGACATGGGCAGGTACATACAACAGGGTAGATACCTGTCAACATGGGTTGTACATACGACCGTGGTAGGTAGACCAGGGCATGTAGGATGACACCTACAGACAGGGGGAGGAATACCAGGCATGGGTAGACACTAACAGCAGGGTGTAGACTAGAATGGGTAGGTACACGGGAGACATGGGTAGGAAACTAACAGACATGGGTATCACTACAAGACTGGTAGACCTAACAGAAGGGTAAATAAGGACATGGGTAGTTACATCCTGGATACCACAAAACAGGTAGGAGACTACAGACATCGGTAGATACCTAACAGACATGGAAAGATACTCAACTACTTCCAACAGGCACATGTATTGCTCACATCACAAAGACTTAGATTACATGGTAAAATATTAACTGCACATTCAAACCCAGAATTCCACCTAGGGTGCATGTCTAGTCGCTGACATTTTGCATCATTGCCATAGAATCTGGTTCGAATCGAGGCTCTCTAGCGTGATCGGAGGTAGACCCTAGGCGCACATATTGAACCCATGTCTCCATGCTAGGAGTGAATGCGGCAATCGTGTGTTAGAGCATGGCGTTTGCAACGCCAGGGTTGTGTGTTCGATTCCCACGGGGGGACAGTATGAAAAATAAATAATGTATGCACTCACTAACTGTAAGTCGCTCTGGATAAGAGCGTCTGCTAAATGACTAAAATGTAAATGTAGTGCAGTCCGGTATCCGTTTACTCCCAGTGGCCTATCCACAAATTAGAGAGCACCAGACTCCGTTTTAATAATGTACAGTGCATTCGGAAAGTATTCAGACACTTTTACTTTTTCAACATTTTGTTATGTTACAGCCTTATTCTAAAATGGATTAAATAAAAATGTAAACTCATCAATCTGCACATAATACCCCATAATATGAAAGCGAAGACATTTTCTGTTGAAATTTTTGCACATTCATTAAAAATTAAAAACAGAATTACCTTATTTACATACAGTTGAAGTCGGAAGTTTACATACACCTTAGCCAAATACATTTAAACTCAGTTTTTCACAATTCCTGACATTTAATCCTAGTAAAAATTCCCTGTCTTAGGTCAGTTAGGATCACCACTTTATTTTAAGAATGTGAAATGTCAGAATAATAGTAGAGAGAATGATTTATTTCAGCTTTTATTTCTTACATCACATTCCCAGTGGGTCAGAAGTTTACATACACACAATTAGTATTTGGTAGCATTGCCTTTAAATTGTTTAACTTGGGTCAAACGTTTCGGGTAGCCTTCCACAAGTTTCCCACAATAAGTTGGGTGAATTTTGGCCCATTCCTCCTGACAGAGTTGGTGTAACTGAGTCAGGTTTGTAGGCCTCCTTGCTCGCACACGCTTTTTCAGTTCTGCCCACAAATTATCTATAGGATTGAGGTCAGGGCTTTGTGATGGCCACTATTTTTGTTTCATCAGACCAGAGGACATTTCTCCAAAAAGTACAATATTTGTCCCCATGTGCAGTTGCAAACCGTAGTCTGGCTTTTTTATGGTGGTTTTGGAGCAGTGGCTTCTTCCTTGTTGAGCGGCCTTTCAGGTTATGTCGATATAGGACTCGTTTTACTGTGGATATAGATACTTTTGTACCTGTTTCCTCCAGAATCTTCACAAGGTCCTTTGCTGCTGTTCTGGGATTGATTTGCACTTTTCGCACCAAAGTACGTTCATCTCTAGGAGACAGAAAGTGTCTCCTTCCTGAGTGGTATGACGGCTGCGTGGTCCCATGGTGTTTATACTTGCGTGCTGTTGTTTGTACAGATGAACGTGGTACCTTCAGGCGTTTGGAAATTGCTCCCAAGGATGAACCAGACTTGTGGAGGTCTACAATAGTTTTTCTGAGGTCTTGGCTGATTTCTTTTGATTTTCCCATGATGTCATTCAAAGAGGCACTGAGTTTGAAGGTAGGCCTTGAAATACATCCACAGGTACACCTCAAATGGACTAAAATGATGTAAATTAGAAGCTATCAGAAGCTTCTAAAGCCATGACATCATTTTCTGGAATTTTCCAAGCTGTTTAAAGGCACAGTCAACTTAGTGTATGTAGTTTGTTAACAATACATTTGTGGAGTGGTTGAAAAACAAGTTTTAATGACTCCAACCTAAGTGTATGTAAACTTCTGACTTCAACTGTAGGAAGTAACTGAGAAATCAGGGGAGAAGGGCCTTGGTCAGGGAGTTTGCCAAAAGAAACCTAAAGACTGTCAGACCATGAGAAACAAGATTCTCTGGTCTGATGAAACCAAGATTGAACTCTTTGGCCTGAATGCCAAACGTCACGTCTGGAGGAAACCTGGCACCATCCCTACGGCGAAGCATGGTGGTGGCAGCATCATGCTGTGGGGATGGTTTTCAGACTGGAAGACTAGTCAGGATCGAGGGAAAGATGAACGGAGCAAAGTACAGAGCGATCCTTGATGAAAACCTGCTCCAGAGCGCTCAGGACCTCAGACTGGGGCGAAGGTTCACCTTCATCTCCAACAGGACAACGACCCTAAGCACACAGCCAAGACAACACCGGAGTGGCTTCGGGACAAGTCTCTGAATGTCCTTGCGTGGCCCAGCCAGAGCCCGGACTTGAACCCTATCGAACATCTCTGGAGAGACCCGAAATACCTGTGCAGCGATCCTCCCCATCCAACCTGACAGAGCTTGAGAGGATCTTCAGAGAAGAATGGGAGAAACTCCCCAAATACAGGTGTGCCAAGCTTGTAGCGTCATACCCAAGAAGACTCGAGGCTATAATCGCAGCCAAAGGTGCTTCAACAAAGTACTGAGTAAAGGGTCTGAATACTTATGTAAATGTGATATTTCTGTTTTTATTATTAATACCTTTACTAAAATAAAAATAAATAAAAAATAAAGCGGTTTTTGCTTTGTCAGTATGGGGTATTGTGTGTAGATTGATGAGAAAAATAAAAATAATAATAAATTTTAGAATAGCATAACTAAATGTGGAAAAAGTCAAGGGGTCTGAATACTTTCCGAATGCACTGTAACTTATTTTGAAGGAAAGCCAGGAAAGAGGAAAGAGGAGAGTCACTCAGCCCTATCCCTGCTGCTGTTGCCTATTTGAGTGTTTGTTTAATATCCTACTGATAATATAATAATAATAATATAATCCAAAGTGATTTACAGTCATGTGTGCATAATTTTTTTTGTGTATGGGTGGTCCCGGGGATCGAACCCACTACCCTGGCGTTATTTCTGTTAATAAAATAATGATAAAAAATAATCTTTCAAAATGTAGCTTAATGATGTAAACACAAATGTATTAACACTTAGGCATGCTTTACGCTTTCATTCCCTATATATACAGTGGGGGAAAAAAGTATTTAGTCAGCCACCAATTGTGCATGTTCTCCCACTTAAAAAGATGAGAGAGGCCTGTAATTTTCATCATAGGTACACGTCAACTATGACAGACAAATTGAGAAAAGAAAATCCAGAAAATCACATTGTAGGATTTTTAATGAATTAATTTGCAAATTATGGTGGAAAATAAGTATTTGGTCACCTACAAACAAGCAAGATTTCTGGCTCTCACAGACCTGTAACTTCTTCTTTAAGAGGCTCCTCTGTCCTCCACTCGTTACCTGTATTAATGGCACCTGTTTGAACTTGTTATCAGTATAAAAGACACCTGTCCACAACCTCAAACAGTCACACTCCAAACTCCACTATGGCCAAGACCAAAGAGCTGTCAAAGGACACCAGAAACAAAATTGTAGACCTGCACCAGGCTGGGAAGACTGAATCTGCAATAGGTAAGCAGCTTGGTTTGAAGAAATCAACTGTGGGAGCAATTATTAGGAAATGGAAGACATACAAGACCACTGATAATCTCCCTCGATCTGGGGCTCCACGGAAGATCTCACCCCGTGGGGTCAAAATGATCACAAGAACGGTGAGCAAAAATCCCAGAACCACACGGGGGGACCTAGTGAATGACCTGCAGAGAGCTGGGACCAAAGTAACAAAGCCTACCATCAGTAACATACTATGCCGCCAGGGACTCAAATCCTGCAGTGCCAGATGTGTCCCCCTGCTTAAGCCAGTACATGTCCAGGCCCGTCTGAAGTTTGCTAGAGTGCATTTGGATGATCCAGAAGAGGATTGGGAGAATGTCATGTGGTCAGATGAAACCAAAATATAACTTTTTGGTAAAGACTCAACTCGTCGTGTTTGGAGGACAAAGAATGCTGAGTTGCATCCAAAGAACACCATACCTACTGTGAAGCATGGGGGTGGAAACATCATGTTTTTCTGCAAAGGGACCTGGACGACTGATCCGTGTAAAGGAAAGAATGAATGGGGCCATGTATCGTGAGATTTTGAGTGAAAACCTCCTTCCATCAGCAAGGGCATTGAAGATGAAACGTGGCTGGGTCTTTCAGCATGACAATGATCCCAAACACACCGCCCGGGCAACGAAGGAGTGGCTTCGTAAGAAGCATTTCAAGGTCCTGGAGTGGCCTAGCCAGTCTCCAGATCTCAACCCCATAGAAAATCTATGGAGGGAGTTGAAAGTCTGTGTTGCCCAGCGACAGCCCCAAAACATCACTGCTCTAGAGGAGATCTGCATGGAGGAATGGGCCAAAATACCAGCAGCAGTGTGTGAAAACCTTGTGAAGACTTACAGAAAACGTTTGACCTGTGTCATTGCCAACAAAGGGTATATAACAAAGTATTGAGAAACTTTTGTTATTGACCAAATACTTATTTATTTTCCACCATAATTTGCAAATAAATTCATTAAAAATCCTACAATGTGATTTTCTGGAATTTTTTTCCTCATTTTGTCTGTCATAGTTGACATGTACCTATGATGAAAATTACAGGCCTCTCTCATCTTTTTAAGTGGGAGAACTTGCACAATTGGTGGCTGACTAAATACTTTTTCCCCCCACTGTATATATAATGGATATGAACTGGGTGGGTTGAGATTTATTAAATATAAAAGCACTGAACCTCTCTAAAAGCTTCACATACAAAAGTTTTACTTGAACCTAAAATGGTTCTCAAGTAGATGACTAAGAAAAGCTCATCCCTTGTTTAAAAATGGCCTTTTTACCTTTGTGCAGATTTCCATTTCTCATTGTGTATTAATTGAAAATGAAACCTTGTTCAAAATATCTCTCTTTTTCAAGCAAGCAATGCAGAGCTGCTTACAATTTCAATTTTCATCACCAGAAAAAAATAGAAAACATATTACAACAAATGGTATGGTTGAACCCAAATGTGCTGTTGATAAAATATCTGTATTTATGGAAAATATGTTTGAAAAGGGTATTTTAGTTTTGAAATGATATTGTAAATTGGAATGGTAGAGTTGTGTCTTTCATGGAGCTATCGGAATTGTATGGGAAGGTCTGCTCAATCCAAGATTACAACCAATTGATTACAGCACTACCCCCAAAATGGAGGAGGCTGGTGGCAGCGGGAGGAGGCAGGGAACTGGTCTGTCTGCCCAATATAAAGGATCAAGGGAGGAGGCAGGGAACTGGTCTGTCTGCCCAATATAAAGGATCAAGGGAGGAGGTAGGGAACTGGTCTGTCTGCCCAATATAAAGGATCAAGGGAGGAGGTAGTGAACTGGTCTGTCTGCCCAATATAAAGGATCAAGGGAGGAGGTAGGGAACTGGTCTGTCTGCCCAATATAACGGATCAAGGGAGGAGGTAGGGAACTGGTCTGTCTGCCCAATATAAAGGATCAAGGGAGGAGGCAGGGAACTGGTCTGTCTGCCCAATATAAAGGATCAAGGGAGGAGGTAGGGAACTGGTCTGTCTGCCCAATATAAAGGATCAAGAGAGGAGGTAGGGAACTGGTCTGTCTGCCCAATATAAAGGATCAAGGGAGGAGGTAGGGAACTGGTCTGTCTGCCCAATATAAAGGATCAAGGGAGGAGGTAGGGAACTGGTCTGTCTGCCCAATATAACGGATCAAGGGAGGAGGTAGGGAACTGGTCTGTCTGCCCAATATAAAGGATCAAGGGAGGAGGCAGGGAACTGGTCTGTCTGCCCAATATAAAGGATCAAGGAAGGAGGTAGGGAACTGGTCTGTCTGCCCAATATAAAGGATCAAGGGAGGAGGTAGGGAACTGGTCTGTCTGCCCAATATAAAGGATCAAGGGAGGAGGTAGGGAACTGGTCTGTCTGCCCAATATAAAGGATCAAGGGAGGAGGCAGGGAACTGGTCTGTCTGCCCAATATAACGGATCAAGGGAGGAGGTAGGGAACTGGTCTGTCTGCCCAATATAAAGGATCAAGGGAGGAGGCAGGGAACTGGTCTGTCTGCCCAATATAAAGGATCAAGGGAGGAGGTAGGGAACTGGTCTGTCTGCCCAATATAAAGGATCAAGGGAGGAGGTAGGGAACTGGTCTGTCTGCCCAATATAAAGGATCAAGGGAGGAGGTAGGGAACTGGTCTGTCTGCCCAGTATAAAGGATCAAGGGAGGAGGTAGGGAACTGGTCTGTCTACCCAATATAAAGGATCAAGGGAGGAGGTAGGGAACTGGTCTGTCTGCCCAATATAAAGGATCAAGGGAGGAGGTAGGGAACTGGTCTGTCTGCCCAATATAAAGGATCAAACTGGCGGAGGAATAAAAATATCATAAATAGGAAAGTATACCAGTTTCATTTGAGGACCAGGATGTTGACAGCTGTGCCATACAGATAGCAAAATAGTTGGGAAGAGATTTTTTATGTATCGATTACAGGGTGTATGAGTTGATGACTCCCGAGTGGTCTAAGACACTGCATCGCAATGCAGGCTGTGCCACTAAAGATCCTGGTTCAAATCCAGGCTCTGTCGCAGCCGGCCGCAACCGGGAGACCCATTGGGCGGCGCACAATTGGGCGGGGGATAGAATGACGGTCAAAGATAAAACCCCCATTTGGGGAGTGGAGGGGGAGGTTTTTCGGGGGTGGACTGTCTTAGATGGTTGAGTGTCAGCTCTCGGGGGAACTGGGGGGGGGGGGGTCTTGGATGGTTGGTGGCCTGGCGTTTGGGAGCAGCTTGGGCCGGTAGCCGAGAGGTCGCTAGTCCGCGTTCCGATCTGACTTGGTGGGAGATCTGTCGATGTGCCCTTGGGCAGGGCACTTGCCCCTGGTTGACCCTGTGGGTCGCTCCGGATGGGAGCGTCTGCTAGATGACTGTAATGTAAATGTTGAGCGGCTTCGCTGCAGGTAGATTGTATGTTTTTAAATTATCACTAACAGCTAAAACAAATAAACATTAAAGACGTGTTTAAACCATACATTTCCTTTTTATTTGTACATTTTTAAAACAATACAATTCAAAAAGTCCAGCATTGCAATTACATGTAACATTCCACAGGGCTGTGAATAGTGGAGCTTGTCTCTGAGCTGGAGGACGAATGGTTCTTTACCTGACTCTGTCTGCTGGAGGTCCTGCATGTTGGTTCCAACCTTTAAAAGTAACAACAAAGAAAGTTAGCGGGTCTGTTAGAAAATGCCTTTGTCTCACCATCTGGATAAGGGTATTTCTGTGCTGCACCAGAAATACTCTTAATGGGAAAATTATATTGTTATATTCCTCTTTAATATATACATTTCATGACATGACTATGTGGCTGTATCTAGGGATATTTTTATTTAGCTGAGCCTGCTAGCTAGCTTTGAAGTCACCGAAATTATTTGAAATAATGATTCAGGTAGCTACGGCATGTAATCTAACTTGAACATTTAACTACTACAAACTAATTTAAATTACAATAAATAAAAGTTAACTCACTTGTTTTTCGCCGTCCATGTAGCAACTGCAAATTGCCCCTTTTCACTTTCTTACCTTGGTCTTTTAGACTCCTCTAATCTGTCAGAAGGCCCAGAGTTAGAGGCTGTCGGCAGGACAAGGAGAGGCCACAGAGGGAGGCCCAAGGTGAGGCTTGTACGTGCATTTAAAAAAAATAAAGTATTCATAGTTGTTTTCTGTGTCCATCAATTCATGTAATTTCCTCTCTAATAATTTGGCGTGTTTATAATTGCCCTGTCAATCCCAGAGCGATGGTGGCATCTTTCTGTCCTGTAACTCGCTCTCCTTCTAGCAGCAGGACCAGCGTTGCTATACTGTAGACCTAGAGAGAGGTTCTACAGGTTTTGGCTTCAGTCTGCGGGGGGGCAGTGAGTACAACATGGGCCTGTATGTCCTGGGGCTGATGGAGGGAGGGCCTGCCTCACGCAGCCACAAGATACAGGTGAGACAGGCAGCTGGGTGTGTGTGTGTGTGTGTGTTGTTGTTGTTGTTGTTGTTGTTGTTGTTGTGTAACCGTGTATTGTATTGTTGCTGTGTAGGTGAGTGACCAGATGGTGGAGATAAATGGTGACAGTACTACAGGAATGACCCACAGCCAGGCCATAGAGCAGATAAGAAGAGGAGGACATCGTATACACCTGGTACTGAAGAAAGGAAACGGATACGTCCCAGACTATGGTAAGAGACAGGGAGGGGAGGATACGTCCCAGACTATGGTAAGAGACAGGGAGGGGAGGATACGTCCCAGACTATGGTAACAGACAGGGAGGGGAGGAAGGATACGTCCCAGACTATGGTAACAGACAGGGAGGGGAGGATACGTCCCAGACTATGGTAAGAGACAGGGAGGGGAGGATACGTCCCAGACTATGGTAAGAGACAGGGAGGGGAGGATACGTCCCAGACTATGGTAACAGACAGGGAGGGGAGGATACGTCCCAGACTATGGTAACAGACAGAGAGGGGAGGATACGTCCCAGACTATGGTAAGAGACAGGGAGGGGGAGGATACGTCCCAGACTATGGTAACAGACAGGGAGGGGGAGGAAGGATACGTCCCAGACTATGGTAACAGACAGGGAGGGGAGGATACGTCCCAGACTATGGTAACAGACAGGGAGGGGAGGGGAGGATACGTCCCAGACTATGGTAACAGACAGGGAGGGGAGGATACGTCCCAGACTATGGTAAGAGACAGGGAGGGGAGGATACGTCCCAGACTATGGTAACAGACAGGGAGGGGAAGGATATGTCCCAGACTATGGTAATAGACAGGGAGGGGAGGATACGTCCCAGACTATGGGTAACAGACAGGGAGGGGAGGATACGTCCCAGACTATGGTAAGAGACAGGGAGGGGAGGATATGTCCCAGACTATGGTAAGAGACAGGGAGGGGAGGATACGTCCCAGACTATGGTAAGAGACAGGGAGGGGAGGATACGTCCCAGACTATGGTAAGAGACAGGGAGGGGAGGATACGTCCCAGACTATGGTAAGAGACAGGGAGGGGAGGATACATCCCAGACTATGGTAAGAGACAGGGAGGGGAGGATACGTCCCAGACTATGGTAAGAGACAGGGAGGGGAGGATACGTCCCAGACTATGGTAAGAGACAGGGAGGGGAGGATACGTCCCAGACTATGGTAAGAGACAGGGAGGGGAGGATACGTCCCAGACTATGGTAACAGACAGAGAGGGGAGGAAGGATACGTCCCAGACTATGGTAACAGACAGGGAGGGGAGGATACGTCCCAGACTATGGTAAGAGACAGGGAGGGGAGGAAGGATACGTCCCAGACTATGGTAAGAGACAGGGAGGGGAGGAAGGATACGTCCCAACTATGGTAAGAGACAGGGAGGGGAGGATACATCCCAGACTATGGTAAGAGACAGGGAGGGGAGGATAAGTCCCAGACTATGGTAAGAGACAGGGAGGGGAGGATACGTCCCAGACTATGGTAAGAGACAGGGAGGGGAGGATACGTCCCAGACTATGGTAAGAGACAGGGAGGGGAGGATACGTCCCAGACTATGGTAACAGACAGGGAGGGGAGGATACGTCCCAGACTATGGTAAGAGACAGGGAGGGGAGGATACGTCCCAGACTATGGTAAGAGACAAGGAGGGGGAGGATACGTCCCAGACTATGGTAAGAGACAGGGAGGGGAGGATACGTCCCAGACTATGGTAAGAGACAGGGAGGGGAGGATACGTCCCAGACTATGGTAACAGACAGGGTGGGGGAGGATACGTCCCAGACTATGGTAAGAGACAGGGAGGGGAGGATACGTCCCAGACTATGGTAACAGACAGGGAGGGGAGGATACGTCCCAGACTATGGTAACAGACAGGGTGGGGGGAGGATACGTCCCAGACTATGGTAAGAGACAGGGAGGTGAGGATACTTCTCAGACTATGGTAACAGACAGGGAGGGGAGGATACGTCCAGACTATGGTAAGAGACAGGGAGGGGGAGGATACGTCCCAGACTATGGTAGAGACAGGGAGGGGAGGATACGTCCCAGACTATGGTAAGAGACAGAGAGGGGAGGATACGTCACAGCTATGGTAACAGACAGAGAGGGGAGGATACGTCCCAGACTATGGTAACAGACAGGGAGGGGAGGATACGTCCCAGACTATGGTAAACAGAAGGGAGGGGAGGATACATCCAGACTATGGTAAGAGACAGGGAGGGAGGATACGTCCCAGACTATGGTAAGAGACAGGGAGGGGAGGATACATCCCAGACTATGGTAAGAGACAGGGAGGGGAGGATACGTCCCAGACTATGGTAACATACAGAGAGGGAGGAAGGATACGTCCCAGACTATGGTAACAGACAGGGAGGGGAGGATACGTCCCAGACTATGGTAACAGACAGGGAGGGGAGGAAGGATACGTCCCAGACTATGGTAAGAGACAGGGAGGGGAGGATAAGTCCCAGACTATGGTAAGAGACAGGGAGGGGAGGATACGTCCCAGACTATGGTAAGAAGACAGGGAGGGGAGGATACGTCCCAGACTATGGTAACAGACAGGGTGGGGGAGGATACGTCCCAGACTATGGTAAGAGACAGGGAGGGGAGGATACGTCCCAGACTATGGTAACAGACAGGGAGGGGAGGATACATCCCAGACTATGGTAACAGACAGGGTGGGGGAGGATACGTCCCAGACTATGGTAAGAGACAGGGAGGGGAGGATACGTCTCAGACTATGGTAACAGACAGGGAGGGGAGGATACGTCCCAGACTATGGTAAGAGACAGGGAGGGGAGGATACGTCCCAGACTATGGTAAGAGACAGGGAGGGGAGGAATACGTCCCAGACTATGGTAAGAGACAGGGAGGGGAGGATACGTCCCAGACTATGGTAACAGACAGAGAGGGGAGGATACGTCCCAGACTATGGTAACAGACAGAGAGGGGAGGATACGTCCCAGACTATGGTAACAGACAGAGAGGGGAGGATATGTCCCAGACTATGGTAACAGACAGGGAGGGGAGGATACGTCCCAGACTAATGGTAAGAGACAGGGAGGGGAGGATACGTCCCAGACTATGGTAACAGACAGAGAGGGGAGGATACGTCCCAGACTATGAATAACAGACAGGGAGGGGAGGAAGGATACGTCCCAGACTATGGTACAGACAGGGAGGGGAGGATACGTCCCAGACTATGGTAACAAGACAGGGAGGGGGAGGAAGGATACGTCCCAGACTATGGTAACAGACAGGGAGGGGGAGGAAGGATACGTCCCAGACTATAGTAACAGACAGGGAGGGGAGGATACGTCCCAGACTATGGTAACAGACAGGGAGGTGGACGAAGGATACGTCCCAGACTATGGTAACAGACAGGGAGGGGAGGAAGGATACGTCCCAGACTATGGTAACAGACAGGGAGGGGAGGATACGTCCCAGACTATGGGGAAGAGACAGGGAGGAGGATACGTCCCAACTATGGTAACAGACGAGAGTGGAGGATACGTCCCAGACTATGGTAACAACAGAGAGGGGGGGATACGTCCCCGACTATGGTAACGACAGGGAGGGGGAAGGGTACTTTCCCCGACTATGGTAACAGACAGGGAGGGGAGATACGTCCCAGACTATGGTAAGAGACAGGGAGGGAGGATACGTCCCAGACTATGGTAACAACAGAGAGGGAGGATACGTCCCAGACTATGGTAACAGACAGGAGGGAGGAAGGATACGTCCCAGACTATGGTAACAGACAGGAGGGGAGGATCGTCCAGACTATGGTAACAACAGGGAGGGGGAGGAAGGATACGTCCCAGACTATGGTAACAGACGGGGTGGGAGGAAGGGTACGTCCCAGACTATGGGAACAACAGGGAGGGGAGGAGGATACGTCCCAGACTATGGTAACAGACATGGAGGGGAGGGTACGTCCCAGACTATGGTAAAGACAGGGAGGGGAGGATACGTCCCAGACTATGGGTAACAGACAGAGAGGGAGGATACGTCCCAGACTATGGTAACAGACAGAGAGGGGAGGATACGTCCCAGACTATGGTAACAGACAGGGAGGGGAGGAAGGATACGTCCCAGACTATGGTAACAGACAGGGAGGGGAGGAAGGATACGTCCCAGACTATGGTAACAGACAGGGAGGGGAGGAAGGATACGTCCCAGACTATGGTAACAGACAGGGAGGGGAGGAAGGATACGTCCCAGACTATGGTAACAGACAGGAAGGGAGGAAGGATAACGTCCCAGACTATGGTAACAGACAGGGAGGGGAGGATACGTCCCAGACTATGGTAACAGACCAGGGAGGGTAGGAAGGATACGTTCCAGACTATGATAACAGACAGGGAGGGGAGGATACGTCCCAGACTATGGTAACAGACAGGGAGGGGAGGAAGGATACGTCCCAGACTATGGTAATAGACAGGGAGGGGAGGATACGTCCCAGACTATGGTAACAGACGGGGAGGGGAGGAAGGATTCGTCCCAGACTATGGTAAGAGACGGGAGGGGAGGATACATCCCAGACTATGGTAACAGACAGGGAGGGGAGGATACATCCCAGACTATGGTAACAGACAGGGAGGGGAGGATACGTCCCAGACTATGGTAACAGATGGGAGGAAGGATACGTCCCAGACTATGGTAAGAGACGGGGAGGGGGAGGAAGGATACGTCCCAGACTATGGTAACAGACAGGGAGGGGAGGATACGTCCCAGACTATGGTAAGAGACAGGGAGGGGAGGATACGTCCCAGACTATGGTAACAGACAGGGAGGGGAGGATACATCCCAGACTATGGTAACAGACAGGGAGGGGAGGATACGTCCCAGACTATGGTAACAGATGGGAGGAAGGATACGTCCCAGACTATGGTAAGAGACGGGGAGGGGAGGATACGTCCCAGACTATGGTAACAGACAGGGAGGGGGAGGAAGGATACGTCCCAGACTATGGTAACAGACAGGGAGGGGAGGATACGTCCCAGACTATGGTAAGAGACAGGGAGGGGAGGATACGTCCCAGACTATGGTAAGAGACAGGGAGGGGAGGATACGTCCCAGACTATGGTAACAGACAGGGAGGGGAGGAAGGATACGTCCCAGACTATGGTAAGAGACGGGGAGGGGAGGATACGTCCCAGACTATGGTAACAGACAGGGAGGGGAGGATACGTCCCAGACTATGGTAACAGACAGGGAGGGGAGGATACGTCCCAGACAATGTAACAGACAGGGAGGGGAGGAAGGATACGTCCCAGACTATGGTAACAGACAGGGAGGGGAGGAAGGATACATCCCAGACTATGGTAAGAGACAGGGAGGGGAGGATACGTCCCAGACTATGGTAACAGACAGGGAGGGGGAGGAAGGATACGTCCCAGACTATGGTAACAGACAGGGAGGGAGGATACGTCCCCAGACTATGGTAACAGACAGGGAGGGGAGGATATGTCCCAGACTATGGTAAGAGACAGGGGGGGGAGGATACGTCCCAGACTATGGTAACAGACAGGAGGGGGAGAAGGATACGTCCCAGACTATGGTAACAGACAGGGAGGGGAGGAAGGATACGTCCCAGACTATGGTAACAGACAGGGAGGGGAGATACGTCCCAGACTATGGTAAGAGACCGGGAGGGAGGATACTCCCAGACTATGGTAACAGACAGGGAGGGGGAGGATACGTCCCATACTATGGTAACAGACAGGGAGGGGAGGATATGTCCCCAGACTATGGTAGAGACAGGGAGGGAGGATACGTCCCAGACTATGGTAACAGACAGGGAGGGGAGGAAGGATACGTCCCAGACTATGGTAACAGACAGGGAGGGGAGGAAGGATACGTCCCAGACTATGGTAACAGACAGGGAGGGGAGGATACGTCCCAGACTATGGTAAGAGACGGGAGGGGAGGATACGTCCCAGACTATGGGTAACAGACAGGGAGGGGGAGATACGTCCCAGACTATGGTAAGAGACAGGGAGGGGAGGATCGTCCCAGACTATGGTAACAGCCCGGGAGGGGAGGAATATAACGTTTTCCGACTATGATAACAGACAGGAGGGGGGGATACGTTTCAAGACATGGTAAGACCGGGACGGGAGGAAGGATACGTCCCAGACTATGGTAACAGACAGGGAGGAGAGGAAAACGTCCCAACTATGGTAAGAGACAGGGAGGGGAGGATACGTCCCAGACTATGGTAAGAGACAGGGAGGGGAGGATACGTCCCAGACTATGGTAGAGACAGGGAGGGAGGATACGTCCCAGACTATGGGAACAGACAGGGAGGGGAGGAAGGATACGTTTCCCCGACTATGGTAAAAGACGGGAGGGAGGAAGGATTCGTCCCAGACTATGGTAAGAACGGGGGGGGGAGGAAAACTCCCAGACTATGGTAAAAGAACGGGGAGGGAGGATCCCTCCCAGACTATGGGAAGAGACGGGGAGGGGGATACGTCCCAGACTATGGTAAGAGACAGGAGGGAGGATACGTCCCAGCTATGGTAAAGACAGGATGAGGGGAGGATATGTCCCAGAACTATGGTAAGAGAACAGGGAGGGGAGGATACGTCCCAGACTATGGTAAACAGACAGGGAGGGGAGGATACGCCCCAGACTATGGTAACAGACTGGGAGGGGAGGAAGGATACGTCCCAGACTATGGTAACAGACAGGGAGGGGGAGGAAGGATACGTCCCAGACTATGGTAACAGACAGGAGGGGAGGATACGTCCCAGACTATGGTAAAGAGACAGGGAGGGGAGGATACGTCCCAGACTATGGTAACAGACAGAGAGGGGGAGGATACGTCCCAGACTATGGTAAGAGACAGGGAGGGGAGGATACGTCCCAGACTATGGTAAGAACAGGGAGGGGAGGATACGTCCCAGACTATGGTAAGAGACAGGGAGGGGAGGATACGTCCCAGACTATGGTAACAGACAGGGAGGGGAGGATACGTCCCAGACTATGGTAAGAGACGGGGAAGCTGTCTGTGCGTCTCAGTGAAGGACATGACTATTACTAAAACATTAGCTAGCATCTAAAACCCTGATTCAGGATTTTCTTTCTCAGTGCTAGGAGTCTTCCAATGGATCTTCTTTCTCAGTGCTAGGAGTCTTATTTTCCATATGTCTATGTCTATCTCTTTCCTGACCTAACATGTGGTCTCCCTCTTTCTTTCTTTTTACTGTCCCTTTCTTTCATTTTCCTCATGTCTCCATCCCTCTCCTCCCTCTCAGTGGAGCTCTCCAGCCTGTCTCTGTGTATGACCAACTCTAAGCAGGGAGAGCCTTGTTTCTATGTCATCGGCAGAACAGAGAATACGCGGTTGGTATCCCTTCCTGTTAGTCTTCCATTCTGTTTGATTTCTGTGTTCTAGAACAACTTAGCAGACCCTGTTATCCATTCTAGTATGTTGATCCCTGTGGGAATTGAACACACACCCTTGGCATTGCTAGTGCCACGCTCTTCCCAACTGAGCCAAACAGTCTGGAGCACGTGTCCTTGTTGCCCTGAGTTGCGTTACCAAGAGGTAAAAGGCAGGGTGTCTCTTATGTTCAGGGTCCAATATACAGTGGGGAAAAAAAGTATTTAGTCAGCCACCAATTGTGCAAGTTCTCCCACTTAAAAGATGAGAGAGGCATGTAATTTCATCATAGGTACAACGTCAACTATGACAGACAAATTGAGAAAAGAAAATCCAGAAAATCACATTGGTAGGATTTTTTATGAATTTATTTGCAAATTAATGGTGGAAAATAAGTATTTGGTCAACCTACAAACAAGCAAGATTTCTGGCTCTCACAGACCTGTAACTTCTTCTTTAAGAGGCTCCTCTGTCCTCCACTCGTTACCCCTGTATTAATGGGCACCTGTTTGAAACTTGTTATCAGTATAAAAGACACCTGTCCACAACCTCAAACAGTCACACTCCAAACTCCACTATGGCCAGACCAAAGAGCTGTCAAAGGACACCAGAAACAAAATTGTAGACCTGCAACAGGCTGGGAAGACTGAATCTGCAATAGGTAAGGCAGCTTGGTTTGAAGAAATCAACTGTGGGAGCAATTATTAGGAAATGGAAGACATACAAGACCACTGATAATCTCCCCGATCTGAGGCTCCACGCAAGATCTCACCCCGGTGGGTTCAAAATGATCACAAGAACGGTGAGCAAAAATCCCAGAAACCACACGGGGGGACCTAGTGAATGACCTGCAGAGAGCTGGGACCAAAGTAACAAAGCCTACCATCAGTAACACACTATGCCACCAGGGACTCAAATCCTGCTGCGCCAGACGTGTCCCCCTGCTTAAGCCAGTACATGTCCAGGCCCGTCTGAAGTGTGCTAGAGTGCATTTGGATGATCCAGAAGAGGATTGGGAGAATGTCATATGGTCAGATGAAACCAAAATATAATTTTTTTGGTAAAAAACTCAACTCGTCGTGTTTTGGAGGACAAAGAATGCTGAGTTGCATCCAAAGAACACCATACCTACTGTGAAGCATGGGGTGGAAACATCATGCTTTGGGGGCTGTTTTTTCTGCAAAGGGACCAGGACGACTGATCCGTGTAAAGGAAAGAATGAATGGGGCCATGTATCGTGAATTTTTAAGTGAAAACCTCCTTCCATCAGCAAGGGCATTGAAGATGAAACGTGGCTGGGTCTTTCAGCATGACAATGATCCCAAACACACACCGCCTGGGCAACGAAGGAGTGGCTTTGTAAGAAGCATTTCAAGGTCCTGGAGTGGCCTAGCCAGTCTCCAGATCTCAAACCCCATAGAAAATCTTTGGAGGGAGTTGAAAGTCCGTGTTGCCCAGCGACAGCCCCAAAACATCACTGCTCTAGAGGAGATCTGCATGGAGGAATGGGCCAAAATTGGGCCAGCAACAGTGTGTGAAAACCTTGTGAAGACTTACAGAAAATGTTTGACCTGTGTCATTGCCAACAAAGGGTATATAACAAAGTATTGAGAAACTTTTGTTATTGACCAAATACTTATTTTCCACCATAATTTGCAAATAAATTCATTAAAAATCCTACAATGTGATTTTCTGGATTATTCTTTCTCATTTTGTCTGTCATAGTTGACGTGTACCTATGATGAAAATTACAGGCCTCTCTCATCTTTTTAAGTGGGAGAACTTGCACAATTGGTGGCTGACTAAATACTTTTTTTCCCCACTGTATAGGATCCAACAGTACACTATCACAAAGTCTAGTTGTGATAGAATTAGGGTTGCAAAATCCCGGTCTCTTTCCCAAAATTCCCTGTTTTTCCTAGAAGTATTGGTTGGAGGTTTCCCAGATTTCATGCAATTCCAAAAAATCTTCCAACCAGGATTTTGTGAAAACAGGGGAATTTGGAAAATAAACCAGAATTTTGACATTTACATTACATTTACATTTGAGTCATTTAGCAGACGCTCTTATCCAGAGCGACTTACAGGAGCAAGACATCAGTCCTGTTATCTCAGTGACCGTTACG